CATACTTAGTTATAAGATACTCCTGGTCGCCATCGAATTATAAATGATAGTTCCAAAAACGTCCAACAAATGCTGACGACTTGTCCAAGCGTCGTATGATTAGCGCCCTCTGTCAACATCTACGAAATGAATTTATATATACATTGTACATAGGCAGAGGGCGCCCGCCACAATAAAGCTTGAAGTTACATCTCAGATGCATGGCGACTTCTGGCAATTTTGAAATACACGTGTATATGGCTGTCATCCCAACAGATTACCTCTTGTTCTAAACTCCGAAGGAATATATATCACCGAGAGTTGATCTTGTGAGTGCGCCACGTTTCGTTACACTACGAATTTAGTAAAAAATAAAGCTCGAAATAATAATATCATAAGATAAAGTAATTCATGATTGCAACTAGATAGAAAAAATAGACATTTTATATGGGTGTTGAATATGTATAACTTTTTTTGTAATGAATGAAATATAAATATTCCTAAACAAAAAAAAAAACATAATACATTATTTACTGTTCGTGACGTATTAAATGAATATAAATGTTGATGTTGTTGTGCGTGTTCTTGTGTTCTTATGCTCTACTTAGACGGTAGAAGTTTATTCCAAAAAATACAATGACGTCAATTTCGCATCGCATTGTGGGATAGGTGTGTATGAGGTCGCCCCTTCTAAATCCTCCACTGGACATCGTGAAAGACGTCGATTTGCACCCATCAATACACTTTTCTTTAGTAACGAAGCGCTTTTATGACATAGGGGTGACACGAAGGCCATTTCAAGCATCGATGTCATCTTGATTCGTGGTCGCCCATCAATAAAGAGTATATTCTGTTTTTTTTTTGGGGGGGGGAGATTTTACTATATTTTACATGACACAACTATACGATTGATAAACATTGTATGTTGATAAACAGTGAGTGGCGCGATTTATAAGTCTATTCCGTGTTATTTTATACACTTTGCACGGTGTATGCACGGGAGCCTTAGTAGTCATTGCAAACATTAATCAAATTGATAGTTTCTTGATGTCACATGACTGTGATTGGAGCATCCATGTTGAATATCAGTAATTGGTAACTTAAAGTACTTAATAGGCAAGATTGTTTTGTAAAATTGTAGATCTTCTACAACTGTATACCTAAACCAATAATTTATATTTAAAAAAATGCTATTTCAACAGTAGTTTCCACATCCGTCTGTCATTTGTCGCCTGTCTTCAATGTTCTGTGTTACCTTCTCTTACAAATTTCGCCATGCTCTATATCATGTCCACTTTGTAATATTGCTGACCTATATTTTCCGTGGTCGTTCTTTTTATTTTTTCACTCCACCTATTTATCGGTAATCTTCTTTGTATTTTTCTGCTGGAGCTGTTTACTTCAGCGTGACTTTCAATGAAATAATCTTCATTGTTTAGAAGCGTATTTATAGTATACCTGGGGGTTTAAGTATCCGAAGAATTATGTTTACATTGCTCTTTTTCAGATTATGACTAATTCCACAGAATTTTGTCTACGAATCCGCAATCTAATAAGCTTCTATTTTGACCTAAGCTTTACTTGAGAAAGTGTCACTTGTACAGCTTGTATATCAACATGTTAGACCTAAGCCTTCCACAGGCAAATGAATTTAAAACCAGAGCACCTAATACAAATTATGTAAATTTGTTAATATTGACACCAACAATTACAAGTATCTTGCTGTGAGAATATGTATTATTTATTTGTTCATTCCATGTAAGGGAGCAAAATATTGAAATATTGAAAACAAATGCCGTAATGCCAACAGAACAGCGGGTATTGCACGTCAATTTGGTCCGAACTTTATACGGTGACCCAGTAAGACCCATAACTGCATCCAACCACACTTATCACATCAAATATGTGAAAATAAAAAAAAGTGGTTACACGTAAATGCGCGTTATGCTGATGATAAAGGAAATGCACAAAAGAAATAAATTACGCACATACCGTTATATTAAACAGGACATCTCTTATGAAAGTTATTTTTCAACCCTAAGAATATGAACTGAAAAGACTGGCGTGTGTCAGTGTCCTGCAAACACAGAATTTTTATCTATGATAAATCCGCTTTGATCTTCAGTATGGAGTATAATAGAACAAAAATGTTAAAAACTATTACTGTATGTTCTAAAAAGCAAAATAAAAATTGGCTTAAATACATTTATTACTCTCTATTACTATATTTTTAATTACCTTTTATACCTGTTGTGTGTTGCGACTTTATGATCAATAAAGAGTATTATTACATACCATAAAACAATAAATCAACCTGTTTTTGTTTTTGTTTTTTTGTTTTTAAATAAAAAATCGAGAATTACTTTTACAAGTGCGATTCTTAACTTTTCAATCCACGAATCTAATATTTTGAAAACGTTGAGCGAAAATGTAAGCGAAAATTTTCGACCGTTTCGATATTACATGTAATCCCAGGATGCAATAGCTGTACCGGGGAACCACCCCATAATACTACATTCAAAATGGCGGATATAATATCAGGACGTAGCTAAATGAACCTGAGTTTCTTGAGTATTGCTCTTGTTGCGTTCAGAACTAACCAGATTTGTCGCTTTTCTGGTGATAGCTTAAACGTAGTGGATATTTTCAGCAATGGCCCAGTGCGCTCAAAGCGCGCAGGAGTTTATACAGAATGCGTTCGGGCCCATGGTAGCCGTGCTGTGCAGTCATGATGCCGAAGTCCTGTGCCAGAAAAATAACTTATCGTTCGTGGAGATGGTTCGACCATTTTGTAAACTAAACACGGAAGGTAACCGAAATCAATCTCGTTAAACAGAGCTGACACATTAATAATTATGGTTTGAGGAGTTGGTCTAGGTGTCGCCCTTCAGAGCATTTTTTTGTTTACATGAAGGTGGCGGAACTCGCCGTCAGACACGCACACTAAGTGACTAACACAACTACCATACGATGTGATCAGCTGTGGCAGCTTTCATCGACTTTTGGGTTTACACTTATTCACCGTCATTTATGCTCATCTATTAATCCGAACACCTCTCTGTTGCATGTGTTCTATACATATCGAATGTTATAATGAACCAAATTATTATTTGTTATCTCCTACTAAATTTGGCATTGCGAAATGTAACTAATACAAAATGAAAAGAATATCCGGCGACAATTATTAAAGCTTAGTTACAGGGAAGACTGTTGATGAAGGGTATATAGTTTTGAATTTTAACTGTAGGCTGCATTAATTATGATTTCTTACAATGATTTCTTATAATGAAGAGTTCAACCTCTCATCCTGAAGCAATGAACCAGCTAGTACATAAAGGACAATTTAGAAGTAGTATAGTCTGGTCATGAGCAAGAAATCAAACATTTCCAAGAAAATGGAGGTTTAGTTTAAATTATTTAAATTAGCTGCTTTTGACTTGTATTGAACAAAAGGTCGCACAAGTTCAAATATTCTGTTGGTTGGGGAGGGGATTAAAAGCTGGATGATAGTGTAGCAGTAATGTTTCCGTCAGAACTGATGTAGTAATAGTCACAGTATTTGATTCTATAATAGCATCTCTTATTAGAATAATAATTTTCATAAATTGTAAAGCGTTTTAATTCCGCTGCTAGAAATATTTCCATAATTTTTTGCAATGATAACATTTTGTGATTCTCGCTTCAGAAAATTTGTAGCTTGTGAAATTAAAATGGTTTACAGTTGTATACTTTATAATAATAATGATCATAAATTTATTCAAGGTACAGAGAAATCAGCATTTAGGTACAAATACTGTGAAAACATCTAACAATAGAATGCTGGCTGAATGCCAAGTACGTAATTGCAGAAGAAGATTACGTCACAAATTATTTCTAAATTACCACCAGATTTCAGAAGAGATTGTATATTATAAATTATTTATAAACTCAATATTTTTAAGCTCGTGCAATAACATCACAGATCAGGCAGATTACGATAATACAGTAGCTAAATAGTGCCCAACTTGACTCAAAATAGCTATATTTCTTAGTCACATTAGGATTAACTAGCAATAATTTGTGTTTATCAGTGGTGATTTTTTTATGTAAATTCCAGAACACTATGATGTCTTAAATACACTTACAAATTATGTTCACTGTGTTCTTAGCCTTAAGAAGCTGTGAAAATGACACATGGAATAAACAGGATTTCAAATATTTGAACAATTTCAGATGTATTAAATTTATGTTGTAATTTTACAAGCGTTTGGCAATGAACAAATGATGAAAATTGTTACACTTGTTTAATAAATCTGATATTGTAGGTTCACTCATGAAATATCTTTTTTATATTTAATATTTATATAAAGTATACACATAAATATCTCTACTCCATGGTATGACTGTCATAACAAATTTAAAAACAAAAATTGTATAATGCTTCATGATAGACTGAAGGAAAACTATCAGGGCTTCTGTCAGTAAACACTGTAAAGCAATTTAATGAGAGACAGTGCAAAAATGGTTAGCAGGAGCAACAATTTAATGGCTGACAGCTGTACATAGAAAAGCAGAGACAGCTTTGATCAAAATTGATGACAAAAATGATCTTTTTTTTTCAACCATCATAGCATGTAATTAGATGCAATGTATGTACGTGTTAAAAATAGAGTCCCATTACTAAGATTAATCTGTATTTTTGAACCGTAACTGACATCTGCCGATGACGCAAAACCTTTTGTGTACTCTGCTAAGAATGATATTTATGCAAATCTTGAAATGCGATCTGTGTTGATTGATTGATTGAACTTGAACTATAATAACATTTTTTTTTTATTTGCGCAGCTCATATACGCGATCCTGCCGGTCAAGTGCTAACACTACGCAGCTTGAAAATCATTGTCAATGAGATGAATATGCAGCCGCCATCACCAACTATCGTACGAAAGATGATGAATGAAGCAGTGTCAAATGCACAGTTACCACAGGTTGCTGAAGGCAGTCGAACTAATGTACTCAGTGTGGGAGATTATGACCTACAAATAAGCTGTGAGTATAATTCACAAAGCATGATGGGTAGAAATAGGCAATCGAACTAACATACTCAGTGTGGGAGATTATGATCTTGTTCTAAAAAAGTAATACATGGGACAAAGGGTGCTGCCAAGTTCTATTATTTCAGCAATAGAATAGAACATGAAGCTTTGTTTTACAGTTACTTCTAAATCATTACCTCCAATTTTTTTTGAAAAGCTCTCCACAATAATTGTATGTGTTATGATGCAGTGACAATGAAATGCTTTCTATGTACAAGATCAATCTGCATTAATGAATGGTTTAGAAAATCTTGTAAAAGACTATAATTATAATAATTTGTATATGTTTTTCTATTGTAGCATCTACGCCATGGTATGAAGCATATAGAGAATTATTCCTCCATGTTGCCCAGGTACCATCTACTCATGAGTACCTCAAACATTTTATTGCTTGTATCCTTTTTTTTCAATGTTCAGTCGTTTGGATTTTTGTCAGTAGTCCATGACATTATTGTCATATAACACATATTGTGTGAACTGGTTTAATTCTTTTGACTGGGGATTGGTTTGTTTTCTGTATAATCTTATTAACACTCACTGTCATCCATGTTTCCTCCATCATTGGTAGGCCAACCACTTATCAACCATTGGAGGGTCATTATCCCACCAACCATTGGCAAGCTAATCACTGATCATTCATTGGAAGGCCACTCTCCCACAAATGATTGGTGGGCCAACCACCTACAAACCATTGCAGAACCATTCACCCACCATCCATTGGAGGTCCACCCACTAGCTATTGAAAGGCTAACCACCCACCAACCATTGGTGGGCCAACTACTCCACCAACCATTTTGGAGGGGCACCCTTCCCACCAACCATTGAAGGACCCACACAATCACTAGCTATTGGAGGACTAACCACCCACCAACTACAGGGTTCTCCACGGTTTGAAAATTAAACAGGGCGCGCCAATGTGAAGTGGGCGTGGCACATTTGTTTGTTGATGTCTGCTTCGTTGAAAACAGCTATGATCCGGAAACAGTTCATTTTACTGTGTGCACCCTGATACTATGTAACGATGCTTTTGATTGGCCAAAGCCACGCATTGACGCGAAAAACAACCAATCAGAATATTTGTTCCAAGAAGAACTCAAGTAAATTTATTTCCTCCACTATAGTGACATTCGTCAAAATATAAACATTTACATGTTTAAGCAAGCAATTCGTGTGGACTTCTTGGTGATCAGCAATGTCTGTGATGGTACGTCGGCTACGCTGGTTGTTTACCGATCAAGAGCATGGCTGCCTTTGTTCCGCTCGGCGGTGACGATGTTGCTGCTACAAGTCACTTTGTGAACTTGGTTTTAACCATAGATCTTATGTTTTAACAAATGGTTTTACCGATAACGATTTTATATATTTGACTTCACCCTGGCAGTAAAAAATATGGGTATGGTAATACACTTTTCTAGGCCACATGTTCATTTTTAATCGTGTTGAAAAATGTTCACAGTTTTCACACCTTAAAACAATGAACCAGTCACCCTGAGCAGGATGAATCATCTTCGGAAGACAATGAGTGTTGGCCTGTTTTGTAAACAATTCTTTGTCTGGGGCCATGCAGGGCGCACAGGAAATGTAACAGGGCGCTGACAATTTAAACAGGACGCCAATTACAGATAACAGGGCGCAGCCCTGTTAAAACCCCTCGTGGAGAACCCTGAACTATTGAAGACCCAGCCATCCACCAACCATTGTCAGTCCTAACCATCCATAATGCATTGGAGGGCCACTGGTTTTGAGAAGGATCCATCACTGATTTTATAGGAAAATGGATTACAAAAATAATTGAAATTTGAATTAAATTTTAGTATGTAGATGTAAAATTTTCTGTGTATAAGGCTACTCTGTGTGCCCTATGAATGCAGTAACCATGTACCATATACATTCTTGGTCAATTAAGTGCGCTCTCATATGGCTAACATTTTTTACAAAGAACTTTGAAAACGTGAATGTCTGTTTGAAAATAGATGGACATATTATTTTTAGGTTGGTATGTATTTGCCTTAACACGATTGCTATCAGGTTTGTTGGTTGTGTCTTCGTCTCATGCAGACCCAATGGATCAGTTCATAAAACTAAGTACTCAGCAAAATCAACATCAATTCAACTCCAAAACAAGCTACCCAAAATGGTTTAATAATAATATATTTAAATATTATGTTCTAGTACATGACGTCGCTGAAGGAGATGAAGAGAAGTAAGTAAATACTATTTACTTTTGATGCAATCTCCTCGAAAATTCAAGCAGTTCCGTTGTTAGTAGCTGGACATGGAGGGGGATTTTGTAATGGAATTCTGTGAGCAAATATGAGCAAAGTGACAATGGTACACGTGGAGGGATGATATCTGTGTCCTTAAACAGAGAGATGAGATTATGTGCTCAACATTTTTTACTTGGAGAATTCTGTATGATACAGGTTACAATTCAGTGACAACTTTGGTTGCATGGCTTACTGAGCAGTTCACATCAAAACAATACTCGTGCTGTTTATCATTATAGAATATCATTATACAATAGAAATCCTACCCCCAGTGTGTAATTATCATACTAATCAATACCCATCTTAAAGTTGTATTGTCCACAACATTTTGTTTGTAGCCTTTGGCGTGTCATTGATACGAGCAATA